ATAATAATGCTGATAGAAATATGTGGGCCAAGGAGGCCTAGGAAAACCATACTTTCATATGCTTTTCTTAAAATTTGAAAGTGTTAGAATAGTTTAAATGAGACCCAACTGTGGCATATAACCTGTGAAATTATAAGAATGTGACTTATTTTGCTAATGTAATCTAATAAAGATATTTGTGAATTGAAATTAAGAATAGTTTTATAAACCAAATGTATCAATGAAGACATACATATTTGTTTTATAAATTTTTATGTGTGACATACATTCTTTACAAAGAACTCTCACCAGTTTATACAGCAAATATTGGGAAATAATGATTTTGCCTTTGTCAATTATATTAGAAAGGAATATAATATTCTACGTGTTTTTAAAATGTAGTTTGAAGTTTTTCTTAAATTATTTTGGCAATCAATTGGACATAAATAAAAATCTACAGTACGTTTGTGAGATATTTTTAGCCAGTGATTAAAATGTTTTTAGAGCTCTACAAGAACATTTCCGAATGAATTCTTTTAAATTAATTTAAGTTTCTTTTTTATTTTTTATTTTTTATTTTTGGTTCTTTTCTAAAAGTTGCTATTGTCAATGTTTGTTGGTAGAGACCATCACATCCCATGATGACTAGTGTTCAAGTTGAGTCATAATGATAGTCTGTTATATTCAAATCAAGAATGACTATAGGAAAGCAGTCATTTTGCAAGCAAGCAACCTGCCATGTAATTGTGGGGAGGAGAGAGGAGAAAAGAAGCGTAAGTACAGACTCAGCTATGCTCTAAGAGTCTGTCCATGGATGTAAATAGGATAAGGATAAGCTAATTTTGTTTGCTTATTATTTTTTTTTACCTCTTAGTTTCCCTTTATTTTATTAAACTTTAAGAAAATAGTACAAAGAAAAAGACTTGGTTAGATTTAAACATACAATGTTTGATGTAATTCCCAAGTCAGCTTTAAAAGACTCCTCAGCACTGGAGGTACATCTCAGTGATACAGTGCATACCTTGGAGGATCAAGTCTGAGTTGATTCACTGCACTAAAATAAGTAAGTAAAAACAAAACTAAAGGTTGGTAATACAGCTAAGTGGTAGAACGTACATTTAGTACGTCCTAGGTTCAATCCCTAGCACCACAGAAAAATAAAAATTTAAAAGAACTGTCCCATAGAAATTAAATCTCAGATATAGTTATATAAGTTATGCAGATATTCAAATGGCCATTACAACTAACTAAAGTATAATATTAGGAATAAAGTTAATACTACTTTGTGTATTGTCATATTTCACCATTCTCTAAATGAAAGTGATTGCTACTTTCATTCTTCATAAAGATATCTGAATAATTACATAATTGTTTTAGAAAATGTAAAGGTTTGAATGGCAAGTGGAATATCAGTTTTTCTAATAACAGGCTGATTATAATGAAGCTTACTGAAAAAAATGTTTAAAATCTTTGTAGATGGTATTTATCCCAGAGATCTACTTTATTTAGTTTTTTAATAGGAAAATTTTTGTAACTTCATTTTAAAAGTTTATTTTTATTTTAGTAATGCTTAATATAAATGTGATGTTATGTAAGTTATAGTGTCTTCTTAAAGTGCACTGAAATTTATGGAATATAACATGAATTACTGAAAGAGCAGAGCAAGTTTGTTTATTTATTTATTTATTTATTTGCTTTTTTGAGATAAGGTCTCACTTAATTTTGTGTAATTTAGGCTGGCCTTCAATTCACAGCAATCCTTTGCCTCTGTCTCCAGAGTGCTGGGATTGTGCATGTTCCACTATACCTGGCTTATCATTTCTTTACTTTACTTTTATAGAATCCTTTTAGTAGACAAGCATCTGCTATTTATTTATGTTTGTTTGTTTGAGACAGGGTCTTGCTGCGTAGTTCAGGCTGGCCTGGAATTCATGGCAATCCTCCTGCCTCATTCTCCCAAATGCTAGAATTATAGGCAGGAGTCTCCACACCTGGCTAAGTGTCTGGTATTTAGTAGATAGGTACAACTTTGTTGGATGAAGGTAATATGCAGTGTGTTGTGAAGTCCAATAAGGTCAAACCCTTTTTTCACTTGCTTCTAGTTCTATGACTTTAATCTAAAGATCTCCTCTGAATCTCTTTTTCCTCAAGTGTTCAGTGGAATAATAATGACATCTCCTTCACATGGCTCATGGAAAGCATCCAGAACTAAGCCATGTGTTCCACGAATGTAGTTATAAACAAATTATGCAATTCTGTGACTTTGAATTTTGCTTTTACTGGCATATATGTTTTCCATTTAAGTGTACAGCTGTTATGCATGTGATGTGACCATTTGGGGATCCCAAAGACAGAAGTCCCTATTTAGAAAATTAAAATAAAAACCTTCTGGGTTGCCTGGTACTTCCTCACTTTCAGGGACTCTAGAGGAAATCTTACAGAGCTGTTGCAATAATGACAATCACATTACTCCCTCAAAGACTTCCATGACTCATTTTCTTGTTCCCTCATCACTTAGGTCCCAGGACTCTCCCGGCCTCTGCAATGGTGATGGTGAGCCTACCTCTAAATATCCCTCTTTAAGGAAGCAGGGGTGAGTGGTCCCTTCCTTCTCCTCCCACTGGTCCTTACTCTAGTTTTTCTCAAGTCATTTCCTTTGGCTAACAGCCTTTAGAACATCTCAAAGATTTGTGTACTGGTCTTCTTTAGATATATTATTTCTCTGGAATAAGTTCTAGAGTGAGGGGTTGCTAGGTTATGTGATAAGTATATATTGAACTTTGTAGGAAATTGCCAGGCTGTTGTCCTCAGTAACTATATCATCTTTCAGTTCTACGAGCATTGTATGGGAGTTTCAGTTGCTTTGCATCCTCTTCTATATGTGCATCACCAGTTAATTTTACCTTAGACATTTAAAAAATTTATTCTTTGTTTGTTTTTGAGACAGGGTCTCACTATAATTCACAGGGTGGTTTCAAATTTATGGGCCCAAGCAATCCTCCCACCTCAGCCTCCCAAGTAGCTAGGATTAGAGGCATGTACCACCACGCCAGGTTTACTTTAGACACTGTAATACGTATAAAGTGGCATGTTAGTGTGGTTTTAATTTGTATTTCCTTAATGAGTAATTATGTTGAACATCTTTTCTGTGAGCCCATTTGCCAAATATGACCTTTATTATCAAAGTGCCTATGCAAATCTTTTGCCCATTTTTTACAGGATTATTTGTTTACTTACTGAGTTTTGGTTGTTCTCTGTATACACTAGATGCAAGTCTTTTTTTCCCCTGGACTGGAGATTGAGCCAAGGATCTTGTAGACCTTGTAGATCTTGTGTTGCTAGCATTCTACCACTCTAGTACATCCACAGCATTTTTTTTGAAAACAGGCTCTCACTAAATTGTCCAGGCTGTCCTCAAAATCTTAATCTTCTTGCTTCAGATTCCCTAATGGATGAAACTACAGGTACACAGCCCCATACCCAGCTGTATACTTGTCCTTTATCAGCTATGCTTAAGCAATATTTTTGTGGATATTTCATGGATTGTATTTTTTGTTTTTGCTTCATTAGCATCTTTCAAAGAGCAAAATTTTTCATTTAGGTTCTGTACAATTTTTTTTTTTTGTCTTTTTCATTTTTATTGGTACCAGGGATTGAACTCACGACCGCCTGCTTGCAAGGCAGGTGCTTATGCCGCTGAGCTAAATCCCCAGCCCCTGTACAATTTTTTAAATGGATTATCATTTTGGTATTGCAACTAAAAATTCTCTAATTAAGGACACAAAGATTTTCTATGTTTTATTCTAAAAGGTGAATATTTTACATTTATGATCCATTTTAAGTCAATTTTTATATGTGAGCCACAAATGGAATTGTGGGGTTTTATTTTTTTGCAGATAGCCATAAAAGTATGTATTTTGTTCTATTTTCTTTAAGTCCATTTGAACTATCTTTGCAGTTTTGTCAGAATTCAGCTGATCATTCTCACCCTCTTTGTATTGGATTATGAATCTTCTGTTCTGTTCCACTGATTTATGTGTCTATCCTTTTGCTAATGTCACACAGTCTTGACTTCTGTAGATTTATAGTAATTCTTAGTAATTCTTTTTCAAAGTCATTTTGGCAGTTCCTATTTTTCCCCTACAAAATTGAGATTCAGCTTGTTGATTTTTACAGAAAAAACTATGAGAATCTTAATTGAGACCACATTAAATCTATTAATAGTTTGGAACAGAAATGATATAACACTGAATCTCCCAATCTTCATAAATGGTATATCTCTTCTTATTTGTATCTTTGGTTTTGTTATCAATGTTTTATTATTGAGCACACAGATTCTATACATATTTTGTAATTTTTTTAACCTAAATACTTAATGTACTTTGTTGCTTTTTGAAATACAACTTTAAAAATTTCTTCATTGGGGCTGGGGATTTAGCTCAGTGGCATAAGCGCCTGCCTTGCAAGCAGGCAGTCGTGAGTCCAATACCTGGTACCGATAAAAAGAAAAAAGACAAAAAAAAAAATTTCTTCATTATAAGAATATAAAAATACAATTGATTTTTGTTTTATATATTGATCTCATATAACATTGCTAAATTATTCTAGTATTTTTTTAATAGCTCATAGGGTTTTTCTGTGTAGACAATCTTGTCTCCTATAGAGATAGTTGTGTTTCTTCCTTTCCAATCTGTATGTCTTTTGATTTATTTTTCACAACTCATTATACTGGCTAGAACCTTCAAAATAAAGTTGACTACGAATTGTAAAAGTGGACATCATTTCCTTATTTGTGTTATCTAAATAATATGCCTATTTTCAAGTATAAATACTAGTTTTAACCACATTTCACTTTGCTCTAAAATTTTTTAACTTTATGAAGAGGTCTATTTGGCTTACTGCTCTAAATAATACTTAAAAATCCTTATAAGCAAAGGAAATAATATACTAAACATGATGTTAAAATATATTTGAAGAAAATTAAGCATAATTTCTTTGAAAAAAAAAAAAAAAACCAAATCAGCCTCTTGGTACTTACTATCATTTGTGTTCTTCCAGTGACTATACAGAAAAAAAGCAGAGATAAACGTACTCTATATATATATACTGCAGTCCAGGCCCTGTGCCTGCTCTGAATTGTCAATAAGGAGGCCTGGGAAAAATATAGCAAATCATAATCTCAACTAAAGAAGATCATTTGAAAACTAAAAGGAAATATAAAACCAGTATTAAAGGCTTTAAATTAATTTGTTTTATGGGCTAAGTAACATTGTGTAGTGACTTTATATTGTGTCAACTCAGCTCGTCTGGAACTTCTTGTCCCAGAATTCCCAGAACTGCATGGCTGTCACATAGAGTTGCCTATAAGAGAGATGTGGAATGCAGAAGCGAAGCAGCAACCGTAACAATCAAAAGCATAATGACGCCCCAATCTTCTAGTTCATCTTGCTGAGTGAGGCAGCAGCTCACAATATCCTCATCTCCTGCCCATTTCCTGGGTGCTTTCTTTCCTGGACTAGGTTAGATGCCATGAGAGACAGTATGAAACCTGTGCACTGCATTACTCCAAAAAGGTGTACTTCCTCTCTACCACCTCATGTCCAGCTATCCTTACCAACAGCTGGCTCCACATATCTTCAGTGGCTAGGGGCTCACCTGCAGGAACATTGTGTCCTTTACTTGTGACTTTATCCGCTCACCCCTCTTTTAGACACCTTTACCATAACATCTCTCATCATGCATGAAATCTAATCCTATAATGAATCCCTGATTCTACACTGTTGGCTGTGGTTCTGCTTCCCTGAATAACTGTTAACTGAGCAGGTTGCTGAGTACCTTCTCAAGTGCACCTGTGACTGGCTCCCAGGTTCATATCCATCTTTTTACATTGATACTGTTTGATTTGGATGACACTCATTATCAAGCATGATTTATTATTATAAATAGTATAGTTGCTTACTTGTTATCTTGCTGCAGTTTATAGTTTTCATAGCAGCTTGAACCTCTTCTATGTTTCCTAACACACTGTTTTAAATTTCAGGCATTATGCTTGTGTTAGCTCACATACTGAATAATGAAGCAAAACATTTAGATTTATTCTCTGATAGCTCTTACTACATAATCTTGCAAACAAGTGGTGCACAATAAATGTTTTTTATGTTTGTTATTTTTAATATGCATATTTTTTCCTCAAAAATATGAAAAATAGTCCTGTACTAGAATATAAACTTCTATTTGGGAACACTAGGCATATGTTATTATATACCAATATATATATAGGCGATATAAAGAAAGATCAACATTTTTGTTTCAGTACTGAAGATTGAACCCAGTAACTGCTGAGCTATATCTCTAACCTTTTTTATTATTTTCTTTTGGTACATGGTCTCACTAAGTTCCACAGATTGTCCTTGAACTTATGATTTTCCTGTGTCAGCTTCCCGAATAGCTGGAATTATAGGCATGTGCCACCACACTCAGCAAGAGCAGCAATTTTAAATAGGAATTGGACTACTATTCAAATTGGAATATACCCATTACACACTGAAGCTAAGCTTTGAATGAAATATAGAATCTTCCCCTTGTTTTATCAAAGGCTCACTAGAAATTTTTGAGATACATTTTTGAGAAAAGATACTTATCCCATTTCAAATGGTAGTGTATCTATCACAGTTTTTGGTCCTTAGAAGTATATTCCGATTTAGTTATTCAGAAAAGATTTTTAAATAGGTGTAGTGGCACATGCATGTAATCCTAACACTCAGACAACTTAAGCAGGAGACATAGCAAGAGCCTGTCTCAAAAAACTGAAAAATACATTTTTAAAAAAAGGATAATAAGTTGCTTTCAATCTCCAGCAGAATCACAAAATAAGGCTTTGGGGCTGTGAAACTAACTCCATAGGAAAAAGTTATCTTATTTTTTGTTATGAGCATCAGTAATGGTTGTAGACATGAGACACTTTTAAGTTTAATGTATTTTATTACCATTTCTCTTATCAACCAAACCAAGCCCTGGCTTGGGATGTTTGACAGTATTTATTGTATAAATCCCCCTTACCAGTCTCAAGTTCCAAATGTAGGTGACTAAACAAGGAATTGGGAAGCACTATATCACAAAGACACAAAAGATGTATGTGCATAACCTCCCATCTCTACATAGTAATGGAATATTTAGGATACAATGACTTTTCTGTATTCATTACCTCTAAAAAAGTAATTTGCCAAATCCAAGTTTATGTAATTCAGTTTTTTGTATCACATTTAACAACTGTCTCACAAAATTTCTGAAAATCTGGCAATCAGCTTTTGGAAGCTGACACAGCGGTCTGCAGTGCACCACTGCTTTATCCAGACAGCAGCACCCAGCATCTTCCACAGCGGAGCCTGGCGTCTGCCCAGCACAGCCTCAGGGAGGACAGCTCTGTATTCTGTGTGGGCAGGGATTCCGTCACCAGCGCTGACCTGGCATAGAAGGGTACTTCAGGGCCAATGGCTTTGCTGACTCAGAATACATCCGTGGTTGGCATCTGTGACCAGAACACCACGACCTTTGTGGGTTTTGTGTTGCTAACTCCCAAGATGCCTCTGACTGATGCACCTCATTTAGATCCATTGATTCTGAAAAAAAAAATACACATTTTCAATGTGGCAGGTAGTAGGCTCTGTTTCATAGTGATACTGGTTCTCCAAATACAGATAAAGAGGTCAGAATATTGGGTGCAAAAATAATAATTCAGTCATTAAAATGTTTGCCTAGTTCTGTATTGCATTCCTTTGATGCCTTAGTGTTAGCAAACAATCTTCTTCCTACATTTAAACTTCCAAAATGGAAAGAAGTACTAAGAGGAAATAGGTAGTTTGGAAGGAGAAAGAAAAGAAAAATATTAGAACAGAATTGATTCTGACATACCGAGTAAACTGCAGAGCAATGGAGAATGTGCTCCTCCTCTTCACTGTTAACTGCATCCAGGCTCAAGTCAGGAGCTCAGTGTGTTGTGCTTGCCCCTTCTAGTATAATCAGCTCCCATGTCGACATTCTGTTCTCTGTGGACTAACTTGCAAAATTAGCCACCAGATTCGATGTGAGCCTATATTAAATAGTGGAGAAAGAGCACTGAGGAGAAAAGGGAAATGAGTGAAAGTGTGTAGTTGTTACCTGACTCAGAAAACAGTCCTGAATTGTGTTATGAATCACAAGGTGAGCGTAGATGTTATGATTTCCCCATGCTGTGTGCTGCATATTTTTTGGCCTTCATCTAACACTACAGCTGGTTGAAAGTCTCAACCCAAAGGGGGAAGCCAGACTATCATTCCCTAAAGATGTGCATTATTAATGGCTCTGCATCTGTGGAATTTCTATCATTTCTGCCACTGCCATATAGTATTAGGAAGTGCCCTGATGCATTTCCCAGAATTTTTTCTCATCCTTTATTTAGTGGCAACTAAACAGTAGTAGAAACTGCAGAAAACAATGCAATAACTTTCTTGAACTATTATTCACAGATATTAGAAGGCTGAATTGGCCAAAGCATTCTTCCCTTGGGTATTAAGACCTCTGTGCCAGAGGCCTGTGTGTTGCTGGAATAGTAGCAGGCATTTTGCACTCCTGCTTATATCTCTGGTTCCCAAATATGTCTATTCTATCTGTGGAAACAGTGATTGTTGCTTAAGAATATTTCTACCAAGGGTGCATATCATTAAGGCTTCAACAGGTTATCCCACTACTCCATAAGGTCTGCTATGTCTGAGTGACACCTACATAATAAATGAATTTCATGGAAAAAGGCTTATTGTCCCATTGGGGCTACATGAGACAGGCTCATCTGAAAATTTTTTTTCCTATTTTAACTTATTCAATACATACTTCTTATACTGTCATATACAAAGAATTATTTAAGTTGGTTGGGATACAAGAAACAACAGACTAAAATCTCTGTCCTATGAAGCCAACATTCTACGAGAAAGAAAAACAGACAATAAATATCAGAAGGCAACAAATTCTATGTAGTAAAAATATATCTAGGTAGGAGCTCAAGGAGTTTGAGGTGGAGAGGTGCTTATAACTTTAATTAGAGTAGATCAATCCTCTAAAACTTGTAAAATTTAAGGTAAGATTAAAGGAAGGAAGGGAGTGGTTATATTCTGCCCTGTAAAATAGTTTCATTTTGGAATTAGAATTAGAACTCATTTCTAATAATTCCTCTAAAGAACTAAAAAAATCTAATGTTCAACAGATTTAGTTTTAGGTTATTTAGTTTCAATAAATAGTAAATAGATGAGTTGTCCAAATAGTTTGGTACTAGGGGGTGAACACTCAAATATTCTATAATCCAGGACCTTGTGGGGCTTGTTCAATTTTCCATTCTCATCTTGCTGCTGTAAACACTTCGCCATGGTGAGGCTCCTTACATTCTACCATTCTAGAACTTGATATTCTTGTGAGTTCACTGGAAGTTAGATAGGAGCCCATTGTGTTCAATACTTCCCCAGAATCGCTAATGCAAAGCATATCAATTTGTTTTCCAGTGTTCACACTCCCCTGACAGTCATGTGTTGGCTCATGAAAAGATTTGTGTTGAGAAGTACATTTTAGGTGAGTCTGTTGTATGAATATCACAGATTATGTTTAAATCAAGGTGGCTGCAATGTCATTGGGCAATAGAATTTAATCATACCACCATTGTATATGTGCTCCTTCATTATTATATGCTTCATGACTATATATACACATAGTCCTGAGCATATGGTGGCATTGGAAGCTGAAAACACTGTCACAGTCAGAAATTCTTTGAATGTATCTAGCCTGTCAAGCATGTAGCAGCACAGTTCACTGTGAAGTACTGACAGCTTCACCTCATGATTCTATGGCTGAGTGCGAGCTGCATGCTCCATGCAAGTCTAGTGTCAGAAGAAAGTAGCACACCAGCAATTGCGAGCCTGGGAAAAGGTCCAAGTTCAAAATTTGAAATATGGTTTCTACTGAATGGATACTACTTTCACACTATCATAAAGCTAAATGATGAAAGCAAAGTATAAAGGTAATAATTCTCGTAAGACTCTAAAGCGTCGTCAAACCAGCTAAGGAGTCTCACCAATTTCAGGAAGCCAATGGGATTCCGTGGGGGTTGGAGATTCAGTGTATTCTGAGTTATTAT